CCCCCCACCTTGTTTTGAGCACGGGAGCCCAATCTTTCCATGCGGTGAAGCATGTCTTTGGGAAAAACATCCACCATTGTCTACACAAGCGTGGTCAACACATTCCAAGAAATAAAGCGGGGCTTTGATTTGGAACTTTATTCATAGAGTGGCCAGCGGAATTTACTCGGCGCCGGGTCCTCCGGTGGCCTGCTCCTTGTCTTTCTTCTTGTGACCAGACACGATGTCATCGATGCGCAGCAACAAGATGGCCGTCTGCAGAGAAACGGGGGGCGGGGGGTGAGAACGGCGCGGGGCGAAAGGCGAGCGCGTCGGGCCCCGGTCCGGCCGGCTCTCACCTCCACGGCCGTCTTGTACGTCTGCGCCTTGACGGCCAGGGGCTCGCAGATGCCGGCGGCCGCCATGTCGCGCAGAGAACCCGTCTCGCCGTCCACGCCCCACGAGGCGCCGTCCTGCGCCGTGTGCTTGGCCTGTACGCCGGCACACGGAGACGCCCGTCAAACACACAAAAAGGCCGCGGGCAGAGAAACTACGCTCACTCGGCAGAGAGAAACCAGAGCAAGTCATTCCATCATCACGCCCGCCTCGGGAGGCGCACGTCGGACGCCGCAGGGTCCTTCTCCAAGGGGGCATCGCGACACAACCGAGTCTCGTCGCAGTCAAGACCGCACGGGGAGCGTCCATTTTCCACTCTCAAGCTCAATTGACGCGTTTCAAAATAAACAAATGGGGAAGATGGCACGAGCTTGCGTTTTCAGTTCTCTTCATTGGTTTTGGAGAAAGCAAGACAAACCAAACGACTTTGAAGCCTTCCTCCGTGTCTCGGCTCGTAAACACCCGACGAATAAGCTCAAAACGACGGGGACGCCTTCTCGGCGGCCATCTGCGACGCGCAACCCCGCGTCTGTCTGCGCAGAAGCCCATCTTGTTCCCCTCAGCTTGTCGCTGCGCGAAGCGTTGTTCGCCACAGGAGCCAATACCCACAATACCCACGCGTGCCCGTACGGAGTCCAACCAAAGTGTCACCGCCAAAATTCAGAAGGCAAATGTCTGCTTCAGCCTTCGAGAAACAAAAAATTGATTTTGCGGAGGTGAGAGTGGTTTGATGTCAAGAAACGACAAATATGGCGCAGCTCCCCTTTCTATTTTCAAAGGAGACGAGCGTGGGAATGTGCGTCTGACTTTTGAGAACAAGCGGTCACCGTTTCAAACAAGAGATGGTGACAAATCCAGCCAGCTAACTGGCCTGATTACAACCCCCCCCCCCCATGACGTAGACTGGCTGGGATTGCCGCAAAAGAGGCGCGCCGATCTCTGGCTTCAGTCATCGCTCTCAAAACAAGCCCTTCGCTTGCGCGGCGGTGACATTGTGCTTTTTTGGGTTGTTGTTGCTAAGGAGCGTCTCCGCTTTGTGGGAGCAGTGAGCGAGCGGAGTTTATTCAAGGGGCGCGGCGTCCGTACCCTGAGCGAGGTGAGCACACGGATGGTGGAGGCGCCGCAGTTTTGGATGAGCGTGCGCGGGATGACCTCCAGGGCCTGCGCCACGGCCCGGTAGGGCCACTGCTCCACGCCCACCAGCGCGCGCGAGCGCTCCATCAAGCGCTTGGACACGGCCATCTCCACGGCGCCCCCTCCGGGCAGCAGCGAAGGCTCCAGCATCACGTTGCGGCAAACCTGCATGGCGTCCTGAAGGTTGCGCTCCACCTCCTGCGCACAAGGCTTCACGTTTGAAAAGCCGAGAGCGCGAGCGCGTGCGGCGGCGAGCGCGTGTGGCGGCGCTCACCGCCAGGATCTCCTTGCTGGCTCCCCTGAGCAAGATAGTGCAGGCTTTGGGCTCCTTGCACTCGGTGATGAAGGTGAAGTACTCGTCGCCGATCTTCTTGACCTCAAAGAGCCCCGCCCCCACGCCCACGTCGTCCTCGCGCAGCTCGTCGGTGCGGCTGACGATGCGCGCGCCGCACGCCCTGAGGTGACAACACGGCGGTGACCGGAGGCGGCCGCGCTGGGGCGCTCGCGACGCGCTACCCGGCGACGCGCTACCTGGCGATGCGGTTGTTGTCCGTCTTGCGGACGCGGCGCACGGCGCTGATGTTGGCCTTCATCAGGTAGTGCTGAGCCAGGTCTGAGGGGGCGGAGGCGCCGGGTCAGCCCCCGACTAAGACCCGCGCGGCCGGCTCGGCGCGCACCCACCTGAGATTCCTTTCTCGGTGAAGACGAGGTCGGGCTTGACTCTGATGACGTCCTCGCACATCTGCTGGATATGCTCCTCCTCCATCTGCAGGATCCTGGCAAAGTCCTCCTCCTTGCTGATCTCGATGTCGGTCTACACAAGTGACGGCAAATGAACGCCACATCGATTCTGGTGGTGACCGCGAACTCGCCCGGGCTGCTTGAAAACGCAACGTCGGAATGATGCTGCTCATTCCACTGTAGGAATCCACCCCCCCCCCCAAAAAAAGAAAAAAAGTTGCAGCTTGAATCAATCTCACGCGTGTGTGCGTGGGTTTTTTTTTTTTGCCTCGTGGTGAAAACGGCGCAATGCTTTTTGTCGGCGCTCTTGCGCATAAACGACGGCCCCCGGCGGCGCGAGTCGTTGCCTTTGGCGTCGGCGCTGACCTGGCTCTCGCCCTTCTTGTACTCCAGCGAGCAGTCGAGCAGGACGATGCGCGGCTCCTTGATGAGGCGGCGCATGCGCGGGTGCGTCACGTCCTTGTTGACCATCACGCCTCTCAGCACGCACGAGTCTTCAATGATGCCGCCGGGAACCTGCGGCGCAGCCGACAAGAGGCGGTGGGACTTCGGCCCGGAGGCGGCGCGACGCGTCCGCCGCCGACGCCTACCTTCTCCACTTTGGCGTACTTCTTGATGTCGATCTCCTTGCGGCCGTTGTCCTCCATCTCCACGGTGAGCACGGCGTCCAGCGCCATGCCGCACGCCAGCTCCGACCAGCGGCTCAGAGCTTTGGTGTTGATGGCCGAGTGTACGATCTTCAGCATGGAGGCGCGATCCGCCGTGTCGACGGGGACGCTGGGGAGCGGCGAGCCGTGGGTCAGCTCGCGCCACCGAAGCCCGGGCGGGGCGGGGCGGGGCGTCCTACCTGATCTCCTTCAACGTTTCCAACATGTCGTCCAAGGCTCGCCTGTAAGCGCCGATGACGACGGTGGGATGCATCTGCTGCTCCAGGAACTGCTCGGCCACCGACAGCATCTCGCCGGCTTGCCCGCAAACAGAGGGAGTCCGCAGACTTTGAGAAACGTACGCCGGCGCCTCCGCTTACAAAATTAATTGCTTCTGGAAGAAATCTCTTCACTAAAACAAACGTTCAGAGACACGTTTCCCATGTAAATGCCCCAAACGCGATAGACGTTCCTCTTAGCCAATGGGATGCCAGGATGATGCTCAGGAAGAGCCAATGGCAGAGCAGCTACTCCAAGTATGTTGCGTTCAGAAAACTCGGAGCAGTCCAGATTCTATTTTGGGGACACGTAGTGGTGCCTTCCTTCATCCTAGGGCTTCCATTCCCAAAATAATGGGCGAGAGGCAAAAGACACAATTTTTTTGGACCTACAATGACTGCACCGCGTGTAAACGGCCCATCAACATGTTCTCACAGTTCTCTCTTGTTCCAAGTTCGAACCTTCTCAAGCAAAATACAAATACAGTGTGATTATTGTTTACGTTATTTGAGAACAAAACAAAAGCCAAAACCTGTCTTGACCTTCCTGTTAAGTTGTGGGTCAAATTGATGAATGCAGAAAAAAAGAATTAGTCTCTTCTGTAATAAAATGCAGAATTACACTGTGGGCTGTGTGTGTGTGTGTGTGTAAGGGGGGGGGGGGCTCAACGAGGAGAATGCAGTTTACAAGCTGGAGAAAAATAGCAGAGATTTAGTTTTGGGAAGCGATCGCTGGTGGAGCGGACATGGAGACTGAGCAACGACCTGGCTTTTAGTCAAAATATCGGATTGGCAAATCATCCACGTCAAGCTCGAAACGTTATTGCGGAACATCAGACCGACAAAGAGGTTGGAGCCCTCGAAGACGCACGCGTGCGCGCCTCACCCAAGATGATGACGGATGTGGTTCCGTCTCCCACTTCTTCATCCTGCGTGCGGCTGATCTCAATCATGGATTTCGCCGCGGGATGCTGCACCTGGATCTGGCGCCACGCAGACGCGGTCAAAACAAAGGGCGGCGGCCGCGCGCCGACGGCCCCCGCGGGCGGGCTCACCTCTCGCAGGATGGCGTTTCCGTCGTTGGTCATGACGATTCCCCCGGTGGGATCCAGCAGCATCTGTGAACGCACGCGACCGCCGTCTTAGTGGCGCCAGCCTCGGGGCCGCTCGCCAAGCGGTCGGCGGATAACTCACTTTCATCATGGCCCGCGGGCCCAGACACGTCCTGATGACATCGGCGATGGTCTGAGACGCGTGACCGTACATTGACGTTCGTCAAGTTGCAGCTCAAACCTCTGACGCGCACGGTAAGAAAAAGACACAAACAAACCAGACGCTTACCTTGGCCGCGTTGATGTTTCCTGTCTGGACTTTACGCCCCGATTCTCTCTTGACGTTCTGGTCTGGAGACAAATCAAGTTGTCAAGTCATTCTTTGCATTTGGAAAGGCCTGTGTCGAGCATCTTTTAATATGCAGTCTAGAGCAGGGGTTGCCAACTCCGGCCCTCAGCAATTTGGCCAAGTTTTTTTTTGTTGTTGTTGGGGGGCAGTAGTGACTCGCAATGTAGAACTGATTGGTGAAGTAATATTAAGCAGTTTCTCGAGCCTCTGTCAACATTTAACCCTCATCCTCTTAAGAGCTTGAAGAACTTGTCACATGGCTGACCAATTAAGCACATGGAGAGAAAGGGGGGCGGGCGCAAGCGATGTTGGGGGGCTACTCTAGTTAGTCTGCGTTTCCTCCCATCTCGCCCACCAAGATGGCGGCCAGACAGTGACTGTCACGTGATCGAGAAGCACCCGAAAGTGATTTGAAACAACCCCCAAGCGGTCGCGATTTGAAGGCTTCCCGCTCATCGTCGTCGTCTTGCGAAGGCGCGTCGCGAGAGACGGCGTGGGAGCGGAGAACCTCTCCTCCCGACACAGCTCGGCAAAAGGGGACCAAGTGGACGCAAACGGGCCAATGGCGTCAACGCCGAGCGCGGCCAAAATGTGGGCGAATGACGTAAGCGGGTACCCGCGGATGCTACCGCGTACGAATGACAGCTAGCAAGGGTGTGGCCAAGGCGCGGCGGCAACCGCCGGGTCCCCGAAGAAGCGCCGAAGAGGGAATAAACCTTCAGGACTCCTGGAAACGGACCGAGCCGCAGGCGGACCGCGACGCAGCGGGATATGCTAACGCGGCTAACAGCTAGCTCGCTCCCACGTGCCAGGTCGCTTTGTGCTGCGGGTCGCCGGGCGTCAGCCCGACGCCTCCGATAAAAGTCCCGTAACACAGAGGAAGCGGCGCCATGAGGCGTCTACTCACTGAGGACGAGAACCTGCTGGCCGAACATCTTGAAAGAAGACAAAGGCCGGAAGAGGGAAGGACCGGCTCCACGCGACTCGAAGCTTCCAGGACTCAACAAATGGGAAGGGCTTGTAACATGGGGCGGGAGGAACAGTCGTGAGCGACGGCGGTTTCAACCAATAGACGCAATCGAAATGTCTCCGCGACCCGCTGTATTCCCCGCCCGCCGGCAACGCATTTGGGACCGCTGATAGGAAGATAGCGAGAGGCCGCGCCAGGTCACCCGCACGCCTACCTGGAGGCCATCTTGGAAGGGACAACGATCCCATCAAAGCTAGTGCATGGCGATTGAAATGAAGTCTGGACGTTCCCGTTTTCACGAGCTTTATTTTTGGGACAATACGGACCATTTTAAAAAGTATCGTGCCAGTCTCCTTGTTATTTCAATGATCTTGCCTCCGATCCACAGACGCCTTTGTCCTTCCTAGCTCCCAGTTCAAAAGGCGTTTTTCGGATCCGTGTCATTTGCGGGACACACATTTCTCAGCATTGTTCCATATTCCTATTTACAATATCTGGTTGATTTTGCCTGGGGGCCGGGGGGTGGCATTCAACATCAAATCTGACTTCCGCATTTAGCAAAACAAAAGGATGCCATTTGCTCTGGTTCAAGTCACCGGCGGAATCCTTTCTCCATCTTATAAGTAAGACTTACTGACTTTGTAACTATGCTGCTATTCTGTATCAGTCAAATAACAGCAACAATCAAGGCAAGTGCATCAAAAGATGACACGCATACAGACAACGTGATGCTCAACTTTTTCGAGTGCGGCAGCAATCCGCTTCTGCAGTGTTGGTGATCAAATGTTTCATGACTCTAGAAAACATTTTTTTTAATGACCACAATGCCAAACTGGATTAAAAAAAAAATCACAGATAATCATACAAATAAATACAGATTAACAGAGCAATCCATCAGTGCATGTATCGAAATGAAGCCCTTCCAAACATTTACAAATAAATTGACCAAACAGTTAATGACTGTAGGGGAATTTTGGGGGCTTTCCGAAATCGAGAAATCAATCAGCACTCAAGCAAGCAACCAGTCCAATCAATGAATTGACTCGGAAGTATGTGACGGGAGTTGGCCGACGGCCGTCAGAGTTCCTGTTTGACGTGGCGTTGGTCAGCCTGCCGTCGCAGGAAGCGCAGGAAGTCTCGGAGCTCTCGCCCGCCCTGCCGCAGATGACAAGATGGAGGTGACGCGTGAGCTTGCTACGGCTGGGAGGGGACCAAAATCAAAGCCGCCCGCCCGCCTCACCTGGTATCGGACGGGCTCGGCCTTCTTGCCGGCAGGCGCCAAGTAGATGCTCGGGTAGCTGAGAAGCCAAAGTGTCAGTCAGGTGCGCGTTAACGCCCGCGCGCCGCACCGATCGCGCGACCTCACCCTTGGACATCGTAGCCAGCCGGCACGTCGTTGTCCACGGCGTTCATTTTGGCGATGACCACGTTTGCGTCTGCGGACAGCTGACGAGGAGACACGATCAAAGCTCAACCACATGCCACGAGAGTGTGATGCCGCTCCGTTCCGTGTGTGGCGAGGGAGCGCTGGTTCCAAGGTTTTGAGCCACAGTTTTAATTTTCGTCACGCCAACAGACTTTCATTTCAGGGTTTGTTTGACCGATTATCTCGACGGCGTTTGATTCTCTTTCGCTTTCTGCCCCGGCCGGATCGTCGACGTCAAGTGAGCATCAGAAATAGCTCCAAGCTGTTGCGGGGCTTCACTGCGTGGGCTCGAGTGGCCAGCATGAAGGAGAAAAGGGCAGAAAGTGATGATGACGATGATTAAGGTGAAGGGTACCGTCTCTGCCAGCGCGGTGTAAACCGGTTCCAGCTTCTTGCAGCGCGGACACGACGGCGAGTAGAACTGGATCAGGACGTCTTTGTCGGGCTGGTTAACGATGGCGTCGAACGACTCGGCCACCACCACCTGCGTGTGGCGCGACGGCCACCCTCATGAGGTTACTTCCTGCCGCCGCTCGCCACAACCCGCCGCTCGCGTCACGCACCTGAACGGCGCCGGCATTTCCGTCCGGTGTCGGCTCGGACTTGATGTAGCGCTTGAGTCGCCCGGCAAAGTATTGGTCCAGAAACCTCTCCAGCGAGGCGCCGTCTCTCCTGGAAGAAACGCACCTCATCACATCGCGTCACCCCCACACCCCCCACCCCCGTTTGCATGTCAGCGTGCTACCGACGTGAACTCCTCCCTCATGGTGTACTTGTGACCCGCTTTGGTGCGAACGGTCACCAGGGGAACGTCTGCGCCGTCGGATGCGCCCACGCCAAATTGGTCCTCCAGCTCGGCCCGGAAGTCCCTCTGGTTGGCCACGGAGAAGAAGAGGCCCCGCCCCGCGTACTTGGACACCACCTTCATCACTCTGGCAACAAGACCAGCGGATGGGCGGGGCTTGTCCCGACAGCTATGTGCGTCGGTGCGCGTCACCTGTTCCTCCAGTAGTTGGAGCCCCGGGCGTTGCGTTTGTAGTCCAGGTTGTAAAAGGCAGTCAGGAGGTCACGAGCTCTCAGGCGATCTTTGTTCTCCAAGGTCATGAGAGGACAAAGTCCAAATCTACACACACACGGAGCACCCGCACAGGCAATGCACGCTCAACACCAGCGGTTGGAATGTCATGAAACGAAAAGAGTATTTTTCAGGTACAGTATGAGTCCCTCACGTGGGTTGCAGCCCAACACACACTCACATGTGGTCTCGGATGAAGCGTCTCAGAGACGGGATGGACACGAAATCTCGCAAAACGACGACGCTGTCTTCAAACTGATTGGCCAGTCGGGGAGGCCGGAACAACAAGACGCCTCTGGAACACACACACACACACACACACATACACACCGTAGTCCGACTTCTGACCCAACGCAAGCGTTGCAGAGTTAAGAGTACAAAGCATAAGACTGACTCTGTTTGGAGTCCGTAGGGGGCAGCCAGCATCATTCGTGTGGTGTGAGCGAATCGGAACTGATCTCTCAACAGTCCCGCTGCTTTCACAAAGTCAGCCAGACCAGTACTTTGCTCACCTGAAAACACACCTGACACGACACCAGCGTGTATCAAAAAGTGTGCGTGTGTGTGTGTGTGTGTGTGTGTGTGTGGGGGCGGGGGTCGTCGAGTGCGGCTTGGTCATGACGGCTTCGTCGTACCCACGACCGAAGCGTCGTGGTGCTGGACAAAGCTCTGCAGTTCTTCTTCGGTCAGCAACACGGCAGAGTCCGGGCCCGTCTGCTTCGTCATGAACTCAAAGATCCCCTCTGACGCCCAAAACAACATCAGCCCGGCGTCTCATTTTGGCAGCGCCGACGTCGCGCGCACGCAAGCGCTCTTACCCGCAGAGCGAGGGCCGTCGTAGGAGGCCGAATCCCTCCCGTTCCTGAAGATCTTCAGCGTCGGGTATCCGGACACGCCAAAGCGACCGCACGTGTCCGGCTCAGCCGTGCAGTCCACCTGACGCGCGCGCAGTCGCGTCAGACAACGGCAAACACACGCGCGCGCACAGACGACGGTTACCTTCGCTAGCTGCACGGTTCCCTTCAGTTTGCCGGCAGCTTCCTCAAATTCCGGAGCTAACTTCTTACAGTGGCCGCACCTGAAGGAAGGAAGGAAGGAAGGAAGGAAGGAATCCACGCGCGGCCGCATGCATCTCTAGTGAGATGATTTGCAGAACATTTCACATCAAATAACAACAACACAACTGGACGCATAACATAAAAGATCGACAACGACACCGTCGTCAACTATTCCTGCGTACGCCTTGTTTGGAAGGAAGGTAGCACTGTAACGTATAAAAGGAGGACACAAGCGAGCAAGGAGTGGAGGAAGGGAGGTGGGAATGGAGGACGACGGGAGGGAGAGAGGCAGGAGAGGAGTCAGCATGATGGGAAGGACGTTGAAAATGGCAAGATGGAAGGACAATCCGAACACAGCAGCGGCAGAAGCGGCACTTGTCAGTGACGCGAGCCCCCGTTTGCGGGCGCCGCGCGCGTTACCAGGGCGCGTAGAATTTGACCAGCATGGTGTCGTGCTCGGTTGCCAAGTAGTCGAAGTCTGCGTCCCCGAGCACCAGCACGTCACTGCGCGACGACAGCGAGGGCCGAAAAAGGGAGGCGAGCCAAAACGGGACGGCGACGACGAGGCGGAGGCGAAGGCGAAGGCGAAGGCGAAGGCCGGCTGCCATGGCCGACGCCGACGAGGCCAACAGAATGAGAGGAAATTTCGGACCGGCGCCCGAGATGAGCGTCAAGGCTTCAACGTTAATTTGGGATTCCGGAAACAACATTCAGCATAAAAGCCGAGCGTGAAATGTTGCCGACTTGTTTGACTGTAAAATGACGTCAAACGACTGGAGAGAAATAAACACATCTTTGTCAGACAAAAGGCCAATGAGCAATAAGAACAGACAGAATAACGTCATTAGGGGACTGTCGAGCAACTTCCGCGATCATTCAAATCCCCTTTGGATGCTTTTATTTTGAAGTCTTGGGAAATGGCGAAACCATGGCCCGACTTTAATTGATCAATATTCTTTTTTGATGGTACAGTACACAGGCGTCACGTGTGGTGTCATGCAACTAGTGAATGCTTTCAGGATTCACTCCTATCTCGTCGGAGTATTTTATTTTATTGAGCGCTTCTTCAGGAAGTGGACGACCAAGAGAACGAGGAAGCGGCGCGGCGTCGTCGGCCGATTGTTGGTGCGCTTGGTTGATGTGCACGTTTGTGACGGTGGGGAGACGAGTGCGCCACACTCTGGTGCGCTAGGTGGCGGGATGCACGTAAACGTTGCTTGCAACAAGAAGAAGAGCAGCAGCAGCAGCAGCAGCAGCAGCAGCAGTAGACGAAGACATGTCGTACACCGAAATTCCACCAGGTGGCAGTCATTGAAAGACGGAGAGAATACGATACAAAAAAAATAGCCAAGAAGAAGAAGGCAAACGGCGGCTGCTCGTCGCGACCGAAACGAAGAAGTCGGAGGAGAACGTTGGAGATGCTTTTCTGATGCTGGGCTTCTTCTTTTTTTTGGCCACTTGAACGGAGCCTCCGCGCGCGTCGGGACTCTCTTGGCCTGTTAAGCTTCCGTTCCAAATTCACGCCAGACGCTTGATGCTCAAAGAAGCTAGCCGTGAGCCGATTGAGAATAAACGGAAGCGAATAGTCCATTCTGCGCGTCGCACTGAAAACTCCACGTACGTCTCCTCCTAAGTTTTGGCTCCATGTGGAAATAGAACAGGTCGCAAACGTTGCAATGCGTTGACACCGATGAACATGACGACGAAAAAGAGCATTTCGCCTGTTGCGATTTGAAGCCGCGAATGTCGAATGAGTGTTCTTGTGCGCACCCAACCCAGAGGTCATCGGTCATCCGCGATGAAGTCCGCCTACGACCTCGCCTCGCGGCCGCACTCCCCCGAGCGCGACGATGCCGACGCGGACGCCGAGCTCGTCATCACGGCGGGTAAGGCGCCGGTCGCCAAGGCGACGCTCTCCCGGCATCTGATTGGCCGGCTCTGTCTGTGTCAGACGAGGAGCACCCCGAGGACAGCGGGAGGAGAACGCTGAGGAGGAAGCGGAAGAGGCAGACGGAGGAAGAAGAGGAGGACAAAGGTGAAGAAGAAGAGCAGCCGAGAGAGGGCTTGGACATCGACCGACAGCTTGACCGATTGCTGGAGAGCAAGTCCAAGCAACACAAGCTGACCAGCGTCAACGTGCGCAACATTATCCACGTGAGTGCGAGCGTACATGCGCGCGTGCGCGCCGGCCTTTTCCTCGACGCTGACCTTTGACCCGCAGGAAGTGATCACCAACGAGCACGTGGTGGCGATGATGAAAGCCGCCATCAACCAGACGGAGGCCGCGCCGCCGTTTGTGAGTCGCGGGGTCGCGGGGGCGGTGACTCGGCCGCCGACGAAGCCGAGTGACCCTCTGGGCGTTTGCTTCCGCAGGAGCCCAAGATGACGCGTTCCAAGCTGAAGGAGGTTGTGGAGAAAGGCGTGGTGAGAATCGGCCCGCGCTCCTTTCCTTGCCGCTCGAGATGGGGGATTTTGACACCTCCGTAGTTCTCCGCCTTTGGAGAGAGCGAGGAGGAGGGAAAGAGTGAAACAACAACACAAAGTCGAGCGTGTTCATTTTCGCGAAATGCGCCTCGTTTAGTCCTTCTGAGCTCAGGTGGGCACCGTCAACGAGAAACCCTTCTCAGTTGCTTAGATCGAAAAGGCAAGCCGGCCGGCGGAGCCGCCTGCCGCCGAACGGCCGTTTGCCGCCAGCCGCCTTTGCGCCTTCAAAAGGGATTCGGACGCGGCGCGGGCAAAAGCTGTCGCTTGCGATGTCATCGCTGTCACTGCTCACTTCCCGTCAGGCGATCCCAGCGTGGAACATCTCTCCCATCAAGAAGAGCCGAGACATCGGCAAGGTCAAAGCTCAGAGTTGCCCTTTGCGGGTGCGCGCGCGTGAGGTCGCTGAAAGGTCGCCCCCGTTTGTGCGTTCAGGGTCATCAGTTTGCGGACATCCCCCTCGCCGAGGAAGACTCCTCCGACGAGGAGTATCGTCCCGACGACGACGACGACGAGGACGAGACGGCCGAAGACGTGAGGCCTCGATCCGATGAGGCGAGGCGTCGGCGACGTCGCTAACGCCACTCTTTTGCGGCAGACGTTGCAGGAGAGCGACTTTGAGAGCGCGGCGTCGCCCGCCAGAGGATGCCGACCCCACGTCAACCGGCGCGGCGCCGCCACGGTAAAAGCGCGGCGACCCGCACGTGCGAAACACGGCACGCCACGTTTCCTGTCGCCCTCAGACCTCCGGCGCGGAGCCCGGGTCCTCAATGGGTCCGCCCCCGCCCCCGCCGCCGCCGTCGTCGCCTCCCTCCGCCCGCGCCGACAGCTTCCTGGAGAAGCTGCGCGCCGTGGAGGCCGAGCTGGCCGTGTGCATGGAGCCGTACGGGCCTCTGGAGGACGCCGGCGAGGGCGGCCTGATGGCGTACCGCACGCGCTCAAAGCGCCCCCTTCGAGACGTCCCGCTGGGACGTCTGGAGGCGGAGTTACGAGCGCCCGACATCACGCCCGACATGTACGACTGCGGCTCCGCCAACGAGGACAGCAACTGGACCGACTGGTTGCGAGGACTCATGACCTCCGACGTGGACAACGACGGTCAGAAGTCGACGCGGCCGCTGACGTGGCAACGCGTGCGCGTGTCAACAACTTGCCGTGTGTGTGCGCGCGCCTTCAGAGGAGTGCGATGACGAAGACGATCCGGAGTACAACTTCCTGGCCGACATCGATGAGCCGGACCAGGAGGACTACCGCGACGACAAGGCCGTGCGCATCACCAGTCAGTATACGCGCGCGCGCGCACGCACACACAAACCGGCGCACCACAGTGCAATGATGTCGTCGCTCAACAGAAAAGGAAGTCAACGAACTGATGGAGGAGCTCTTTGAAACGGTGAGACGCAGACGCCCGCGCGCACGCACCCGCACAAAACAAAGGGATCAATGTGTGCGCGTTAGCTGAAAGAGGACCCGAGGGGCCGGGAAGTGGATGACGAAGGCCACGACGAAGAGGAAGAGGAGGAGTCGCGGGAGGACGCCGGCGCCCGTGACGAGCGCCTCGCCGCCCGGGCGTGCGACGCGCTCAACCGAGCGGCGGCGAGCGGCGGGGAGGTGGAGAAGGAGCGCGTGGCGGGAGAGCGGCGTACGGTCAAGCAGCAGCTGGCCTTCATGAGGAGCGCTCGACACGCGCCGAGTGCGCACACGCTAAGGCTGGACGCGCGCCACCGCGGCGCGCTCACGCAGCAAATCCAGCAGGTACGCGCGCGCCCAAGCCGGTCCGCCGCTTCTTACGATCGCCATCACTTTGCGACACGCAAACGCTGGCAAAAACAAAGGCCGTTTCAAAAAGAGCGTTCGCACCCGACTCGGCCGAAGCGACGACAAGCGCTAGCCGCCCGCTCGCCCGCGGCACTCACCGGGCCAGGCCCCGCCTTTGAAATGAAAGCCAAACACACTCAAAGCCGCACACGGTCAGCGGTGACGATGGAGGCCCCGAGTCGTCAAATGCGCGTCGCGCATTCCGTTCCATCAATAGAATTGACGAGATAAACAATCAACGGATGACCGCGTGTGTGTGCAGCATGTGCAGCTGTTGCTTCAGGTCCACCTTCTCACGTCACCCGTGGAAGAACTTGGCAGCGAGGCCGAAACGACGCGACACTTCCTGGTAAGGAGCGAGCGCGGGCGGCCATTTCGGAGCGCCGGCGCAAGACGGCGCTCAAAATCTCCACCGTGCGATCGCGGAGTCACAAATGACGGACGGCGGCCAACGGCGTCGTCGCGGGCTGCTTGCCGACTCCCCCGGTCGCCGCCGCACCGTTGCCTTTTTTGGGACGGGACAAGCGGCGCCCGAGGGATGACGGCCGGTTAGGGGGCGACGTGACGACGCCGCCTGTCCCGTGTGTCAGTTTGAGCTAGACCTGCTGGCGCGGCGAGGCGAGCTGATGTTGTCGAGCCAACGAGCCCGGCCAACGGCGGCGACGGCGGCGCGTTGCAGCGCCTTCAGGGCCTCCAACCTGCAAGGGGCCCTCAAGCTGCTGGACGAATTGCGGGAGCGCCCCCCAGCCTACGTGCACCTCAAACACACGCCGGACTCACGCGGACAAAGTCAGTCACCGTATCCCGTTGCTGGCCTTTTACGCTGTGCGCGCTATATGTGACAAGCGTGTGTGTGTGTGTGTGTGTGTGTGTTACCAGTGCGGAGTTTTCCAGTGATGCCCGCTGAGCTGGCGTGGATCTTTGCCACACGTCCCGTCTTCCTCTACCCGCAACTTCTGCCGTGTGTCAGCTTGGATCCGGCTCTCTACTGCCCTCGCAGGACGGCGGCATTCACTGCGGCAGAAGACTGGTACGCGCGCAAAGGGCACCAAACACATCACAACTTTGCAGACAGACATTTGATGAATTTGTGCATGTGTGTGCACGCGCGCAGCCTGCTTGTCATGGGCCTGCGCAATTTGGAGGGATCACGCGAGCCCACCCGGCTGCTGTGCCAATTGTTGCTGGGTAAAAGTGTGGCTCAGGTGAGACGCAGGATCCTGCAGTGCTGCAGACCGGGAGCCCCCGACAATGTTGTCAAGGTAACGCGCGCGCGCGCATGCCAACGCCACGTCCGCTTCAAAGTAAAACGCGCGCGCGTGTGTGTGAAGGCATTCCGGTACAGGCGTGTCCTTCCTCGCACGCCGCCGGCGTGTGCCCGCGTTGCTGCGTGGGAGCGGCGCCCCCCAGCCGAGAGAGATGTGCGCCTCTTGCCTCTGTGGCTGGTGGTGAGGCAGCTGAAAATGTGCACTCTCACGCGCACGTCGATATCGTCGGTCAATATTGTCCCGCCCCCTCTAGAGAAGTCTCCCCGTGATCTCCAAGGC